GAAAATCATACACACATGCTCTTCCTGACAGGACACACACACTTCACAACCAGTCGCAGAGTATTCACGATTTTCCAGTAATCCAGAGGATGCAGCTCAGAGCCATCTGTGCTGGAACCCAGCGTGACCTCTGGTTCACAATCTCACAATAGACCAGAGAAAGACACAACCTGAATGCTAATTCTGGAAGTGATGTCAGTCAGGTTGTTAGCACAAGGGCCGTGACCTCAGGACCTTCCTACAGGTGTTTGGAGCCCTATCAGCTTTACAGGGACAAGAATTAACCGATGCAGTCCAAATGAACAGGACTTAATATAAATTTGTACAAAGGGCAACTATTAAACAAATTCAGCAGCAAAATCAATGTTTTTGCAAGAAACAAACATCTATTTCTGTTCTTGGGGGTTTAAACAGTTACTGAAAGCAAATTTCAGCTGCTGTGTCAGTGTGTATATTTTTGTGTGGCAAAATCAAGTTTTGTTTTCACTTACAAAAGACTCTGTCCACAGCAATACAAGGAACCACAGTAGAGGAATGCAAGTTATCTGAGCAATCCACCACACAATCCAATCCACACGCACACTCACACGGACACATATGAAGCAGGGCATTTGCTATGCACTTTTGCTCTGGTGCAGAATTAAGACAACTGTGCATGTTCAACCATGTGTCTGTCATTTATAGCAAGCCCAGTGTCTATTCAAAGCAGACTCATTTGTCATTTTTTCAGTTCAGGAATCATGGAGGACCAGAATGAAAGTTCTATTTTGTGCACTATATATTCAACCAGATTGAGGGACACTGTCAATGACATCAATGTCATATCAACTAATTCCTTCAAAAGAACTAACTCTAGTATGGCCTTGTTTTTAGGTATCCATCAATGTTTGTTTGTAAATGAGTATTTGTGTTTGTTTATTTGAAACGCTACACTTGATGATGCTTATTATGCCAGTAAAAGAGGAAAGCAATAACAACGCAGTTCAATGTCTGTCTGTGGTTTGCTGGGCCTAATTTATACTTAATCAACATCATACATCTAAATAAGAAAGACTCCATGCTTTTTAGGACGTAAGCGTCAGATTTATTGGAGTGTTTAAACATCAGTTCTTCAGAAGCACAGCTTAAGTTAAATGAGCCTCATCGTGAAACATCCCGTCAAACCAGTACTTCAGAAGAAAACATCGATCCACTGACTAGAAAACATTCAGGCGGGGAGTTGCTATTGAGTCTGAGAAATGGTAAGTGGGGAGATGATTTCATTTTACAACCTTCAAGGCAGTTATGGACAGAGAAAGAGACAAATTCATGTGGTGAGCAAAACTGACTAACCCGAGGTTGCAAGTGTCAATGGGTAATTCTCAGAAAACTGTGTACTACCCCACTCCCCTCCATTTCAAACGTTATGGTTGAACATTCAAGAAATTATATCTTCCTACCTTAGGCCTAAGGGCTTTAACCATTATATTCCTATATGTGAATGAATGAATGAGGCATTTATAAGGCGCTTATTGTGTATTGCTGTATACCCAAAGCGCTTTACAATCATATGAGGGGGTCTCTCCTCAACCAGCACCAGTGTGCAGCATCCACCTGGATGATGCGACGGCAGTCACAGTACAGCGCCAGTGCACACCAGCTACAGGTGGAGAGGAGAGAGAGTGATAGAGGCAATTCAGTGGATGGGGATTATTAGGAGACCATGATTGACAAAGGCCAGTGGAGGGAATTTGGCCAGGACACACTTGGGATACCCCCTACTCTTTACGAGAAGAGCCATGGGATTTTTAATGACCACAGAGAGTCAGGACCTCGGTTTAACGTCTCATCCGAAGGATGGTGCTTTTTGACAGTATAGTGTCCCCATCACTACACTGGGGCATTAGGACTTAACACAGACTGCAGGGTGAGCACTCCCTGCTAGCCTCACTAACACCTCTTCCAGCAGCAACCTAGTTTTCCCAGGAGGTCTCCCATCCAGGTACTGACCAGCTCAACCCTGCTTAGCTTCAGTGGGCAACCAGTCTTGGGCTGCAGGGTGA